CAGTTTCTTTAATGCGCGCTGCTGCCTCAATGATGCCCTTGTGGCAATGCGCCAAACGCCGATGCCAAAGGTTGTAGGGCTCCGCGCGTGGAGCAGCAACATATGAATTTTTGTACGTGTTCATATTTTCTTCAGTGATCCTCCGTCTCCGTTCACACTGGCTTGTGTCGAGTCGCACATCCAGGAAATACAGCGTCCCCACTTCTCGTAACACCAGGGCGATTGTTGATCCATCTCTCGAAGTAGCCGGCAACTCGATTCGAGGTTGATCGGACATGATCGTATTCGCACCTTTCTTCTGAGCTGTTCCAGTAGAGAACAGGTGCCGCCCTAGCCCTGGAACCACTGTGCACTTGAACCGCACTCTCCTGTCGTTTCCTTCTTCATCCTTGGCGAAAACGCTGATGATGCCTTTGCTGGTCCCTTCAAGCTCAATTCCTCCAGCACCAATAATCTTCGTAGGCGTAGTGATGTACGTGAAGTCATCCAAAATGTTTTCCAGATCTGGTAACAGCTCGCTGTCCAAGTAGTGGCCCGATGCTCCACTATCCACCAGTAAATTAAATTTTCCTTGATCGAATTCCACATAAGCAGCTCGGTGTGCTGCCGTCTCCATGCTGCTGACGCATGGGTATCCAAGGTTCCCATTATAACCTTCAACCACTGTCTCTTCAGTTGGTTGCGACGTAGTCCGGACATTCCGGTTATGAGCAGACCCCCTCGTCTCCTCATGAGCTGTTGTAGCTCTGTTGATAGTCCGATGATCACCGTTGTACATCCTTGGATTAAAGGTCCAAGTACCATCCCTGTCTCGGTCTTGGTGGCGAACAGTGTTGGCCTGTCTCGTTCCTTGTGTTTCTGCCATCATCGGTCCTCCTCGTCCTGTTGATGCATGTCGTGTGCCCATACCATCTTGTTGTTGGGCACGACACTCTGAATCGTCATGCAGATGGGTGTTGTGCAACGAACACCACTTCCGTTGCCTTTGTTGTTGCTGCCGTTGCGGAAGACGGTCTTTCACTTGTCGTACAGGTCGGCTGGATCTCGATCGCTGCTGATAACCGTTGTTGTATCCTCGAAACCTACTGTTGTTCCGCGATCGCTGTTGAACATAAGATCCATTTCTCCTGTTTCCGCCGCTGCTGCTGTAGTTCCTCGTAGTAGGAGGTCGGCCACTCCCTGAATACAGCTCCGGGCAGTCCCGTTGAACATGCCCCAAACGGTGGCAGTTGTAGCATTCCACCGCATCTCTGTTGTATGGAAGTGCCGAATAGCCGCCATCTCGGCGTATTGACTGACGGGGTGTTTCTGTTATGGCTGAATACCCCGCGTCACGAGCAGAACTCCTCCTATCCTTGAATGACGTGATGGCGCCATCTTTGCGGTTTCTGTTGTACCACATGTTCCGCGCCGTTTGAGTGATGTCTGCCAGATCGTTGTACTCATTCCTCGAACTAGCATGGTACCTGATCAGGTGGTACTCTGCTGGCAGTCCTTGCAGTATGATGTCCCCAAGTTTCTCATCGGTGACTGTTCCTCCGATGAAGCGAAGTTGCTCCGCGAGATGCCAGACATGGGTGATGAAGATGTCCGGATCAGTACCAGTTCGCATGGTAGCTGATTCCAATTCTCGTTCCAGGTTTCTCCGCCGGTGTTCATCGGCAGGCTGAAATTTAGATTCCAGCTCCTTCCAAACAGCTAGTCCGCTTCCACTCGATTCATCCACAGGCGCGTGTCGCCGTAACACATATTTAGCTGGCCCGATCAATATGTGGTAGAGAATGTTGAAGAGTTGAGAATCGGCTTCCTCAAATTCGTCCAGCTCGTGCTGGTTCACGATAGAACGTGAACGTCCGATGGATGATGACCGTGGCGCTGATGGTCTCCTTCGTGATTCCTGTTGACCTTGCGAAGAACGCTTCCGTGGTAGTTGCTCCTTGTGCAGACGAACGATGGTCTCAGCTTGATCAGCGAGTAGTTCAGCAGTATCCGATGCGTCTTTCATGGCTCGTGTGATGGTCTTCTGTTCTTCGTCGGCATCAGTAAGCACTTTGCGGGCAAGTGCTGCCTTTTCTCGAGCTTCCACAGATGCTGACTCCGCTGAACGCAGCTGCTGTAGAGCTTCTTGGTACGCAGCGTCTTTGTCATCACGGTTTCCAGTGTCTTCGTCATCTTCATGTTCTTGGTCTCCACCATCTTGATCTCCATCGTCATCTTGGTCGTGTAGTTCATAGATAGGAGTAGGGCTCCAGTTCTCCCCTAGTAGTTTGTTGATGTTGGGCCGATACAAGGCCAGAGTCCTCCTTGTCGTGTACTTCCACTCTGGATACTCCGTATCCCTGCCGCTGAACTTATGTAGGCTCTTCAGCAGTTGGAAGTGTTTGCTGTCTTGGGCCATGGTCGATCCTTGTTGTGGTACTGGTGCCAGGTGCTGATGATGCCGAGGCTCTCCTTCCAGTAATTTCTCCTTTTCCAATTCACTTGAATTGTTCCTCCGTAAAATCCCTTGCTCAAAAGTTGAGGCTCCTTGCTCAGATGTTGAGGCTTCCTTTTCCAGAACTGTACTCTTCGTTGTAATGTCGACTTGAATTGCTGATGCAGGGGGCCAAACCTGGCACAATTCTTGTTTCCGCGCGACCTCCGGTGCTCAGAGTGGCGTACTTGTCGTCGTTCGAGCTCGATGCGTATTCCAGCGACACCCTATTTGTCGAAGTGCTGTCCAAGTTACCAGCTTCCTTCAGGGTTCGGGGAAAAATTCCTTTCGAACAGCTCTCTCGATATGTTTCCAGCGACACCCTATTTGTCGAAGTGCTGTCCACGTTACCAGCTTGCCTTCAGGGTTCGGGGAAAATTCTTTTGACGTCGAACTGCTCCTTTCCTCTCTCGAACAGTTCTTGTCATCCAGCGCAATCCTATTGTGAAGTGCTGCACAAGTTACCAGCTCTCTTCAGAATTCGCGGAAATGTCGTACAGTCCCTTCTTTCCCGCGCAACCCTTTTGTGAAGCGCTGGCCAATCCACCAGCTTAAACTTCAGGGTTCGGGGGAAAATTCCAACTGCAGCTTTCCGTGTCAGACTAGTGCGTAGTGTGACTGCTGAGTTCTTCGGCTTCACGGCTTACTTTCTGAGATGCGTATGTGTGCCGGCAACCCACTCGGTGAGACCTTGATGGTTGATGATAAGACGTATCTCGAGTCTTGGCTGAATTTCCTTCTGCTGCTGATGTTGCAGCTCCTCCTTCCTTTGTAGATGCAGTGACTCCTGCTCCTGCTGCTCTCGATGAAGGAAATTAGTTGTCCAGCTCCTAGCTCCGTATTAATGTAGGGTGGTCCGCAGCCGCGCTGTCTACTCTGTCAGGACGTAGACCCGCGCCGATTGGAGATCTTCTTCTACCGGTGGGGTTCTCGCGTGGTTGTGACGGGATCAGCGTCACCAATTCCACCGAGACGTCGTGTGAATTTAGCCGGATCAGGACTCAAATTTCACCGACCGCAGTTCTCGATTACACGGGTTGGGAATCGCGCTCGCTCCACCCCCGCCGCTTTACTGCCCGTAGGGATTACCGCTCACCCGAGTGTATAGTGTACAGTCTATAGACTCGGTTTGGTGGCGTACCTGCCTGCCGCGTGACCTTATCTCGGCGCAACAATTTAAATTTTGTCAGCGGAGAGGTTGCCACTACACAGAGCCGATACTCACGGCAGGACTTTTCTGACGTCCGTCGTGTACGGGGTGAAATGATCACGCTCCCGCTGGCCTACGACTTACCGGTCACGGGGTGAGTGCGCACTCAAATGCCCGTCCGGTGCCCGCTGCTTCAGGTCTTCGTCAAGCGTGAACACAGTTGTTAGACTTGTATTCCGCCGAGCAGTCTCCAGCCCACTCCCGGGGGTGCTTGTTCAGCGCAGCAGGTTAATTACTCCTGCTGACACTGGCCGTACTATCTTCTCTCCTCTGCTGCTGTTGTCGGCGGTCTTCAGTGTCCTCGCTGTTCTGCTGATCTCGCGATGATGAAGGTCTTGTTCTGCCGAGGCCTCGTTGAGTCTTCAGACACCAGTTAGCGTGCCATCCATGTAGAAATGTGTCGTGTCGAGGTGCCCTGTACCCAGGGTCGTGTCTGCAGGCGGTTAAGCCTTCGTGCAGTCTGCAGGCTATGAAGCCTTTGTGCAGTTCCAGACAGTTGTCTGTGCAATGTGCAGACCGCAGTCTGTTGAGGCAATGACCGTAGTCGATGTTGTTGCTAAGTGCCGCTTCTGGGACTTGTACTTTCTTCTTCTTTAGCAAGCTTGCAGAGTTGAGATGTTGAGGGATAGTTGGGAGTGAGCCCGATGGGGCTCGCAACACCTCGTGATCTCGCTACAATACAATCCTCTGCTCAACCATCAATTCATTCCATGAGCTCCTCGCTAGAACTCGTCGCTACATGTTACGTTCTACCAAACGTCACTCATTATACCGCATCTACGTACCATTGCGTGCAGCAATCATACAGCTGCATCTATGCTACTACACAAATCCTACAGCAGTAATGCGCTGTATTTCAACAAAAACAACTTACGGCAGCAGCACGAGCTCGTCAAAGAGGTCCAAGATGGTGGTGTCAGGGCTAAGGTCGCGGTAAAGTACGGCGTCAGCAAGGGGTACGTCACACAGCTGATGATGCCCGACAACTCAACAAGGCGGTCCAGATGGAGCTCAACCCGGAGGCCCGCCGCGTCCCGGAACCAGTGGAGGCGGAGTTGGAACAGCGTGTTCTCAAGTGGATCAAGATTGCGCAAGAACGATTCATGGTGAGGGCTGACGTTGGACGCCGGGTCGGGTCAATTGTGTGTTGATATGGTGGGCAGCTTATCAGTTGTACGTCCCTCGTTTGAGAATTTCCGTTTGCGTTTTGTTGGGTATCATTTTCGATCGCGTCAGTCCTTTCATGTCCCCACACATCATGGTACCGACCTGCCTTCGAAATCCCATGCACCTACAACTGCAGCCGCTGACGTCCGTTTCTTACTGCTGTTGCCGGTGCTCTTCCCTCTATACAATTTTGCAGACAACAAAGATCGGGCTGAGCGGCACAATGATCCAACATCGGGCCGTGAAGTTCGCGTCCGAGATGGGCATCAAGCTCGCTGCAAGCAACGGTTGGCTTCACCGCTCCCTCAAACGCTGCCAATTGAAGCACATCAACCTGCACGGGGAAGCTGGCGACGTGGACCAGGAGAAGGTGCAGGAGAAGATTGCGCAGACTGAGGAGCAGCTGAACGAGTTTGACGTCGAGTTCATCTTCAACATGGACGAGACGGCACTTTTCTACCGCTGTTTCCCGAGAGGCACGTACGTCACGAGGCAGGAGGACGCTGCTGGCGTCAACAAAAACACCGCGCGGGGCTCGAAGGCCATGAAGGCCAANGTGCCGCTGGCCGTCATCGGCACGGCGGCAAATCCGATGGTTTTCCGCAAGGTTCGCGAGCTACCTTGCCCCTACTACGCCCAGGCCAGCGCCTGGCTCGATGCATCCCTCTGCCAGAGGTGGTTCGACGAGGTTTTCGTCCCGTTCGTCAAAAGCAAAACCGCGAGGAAGGTGACCCTCACCTGGGACAACTGCCCCGGCCACAAGATCATCAACAACGACCCACAGATCGTCATCATCTTCTTGCCGCCCCTCGTCACGTCCGTTTTTCAGCCGATGGACATGGGGGCCCTCTTCACCCTCAAGTGCCAGAACAAGCCCGAGATGGTGGTGAGGCTGTCGGACGTCATCGAGGACTGGGACACCGTTCGTGCGCGCAACATCCCCAGGTAGGAAGATGTGCTAGCCTGACGTCAGTTACGCATTGATACTGATTTTTGTAAGAGAATCGTGGTGGTGGACACGTTTGTCGATGGCTCCCATCGAAANACAAGCCCGAGATGGTGGTGAGGCTGTCGGACGTCATCGAGGACTGGGACACCGTTCGTGCGCGCAACATCCCCAGGTAGGAAGATGTGCTAGCCTGACGTCAGTTACGCATTGATACTGATTTTTGTAAGAGAATCGTGGTGGTGGACACGTTTGTCGATGGCTCCCATTGAAAAAGAAAAACCTGCCGTTACCGGTCATCCATGCATGAAAAAAAAAACATGCTCCCTCCTTCCCTCCTTGTACCCCGGCGACCCTGCGCTCTTCTCCTTTTTCAGGGGATGTCAGGGGCTGAGCGATGCAGGCCAGGCGACAACGCTGGACGTCGCTGAGATCCTTACCCAGAAGTGGGAAAGTTTCTCGGACCAGACTGTTGTCAGGTGCTGGCCCAAGGCCACCATCCTTCCCGAGGAGCACGAGAACGTCTTCAAGCGGAAGGACACACGGCTCGCTGGAAGGACAACGGGAAGGGGGGGGAGGTGGGGGACAAGGGGGGGACACGGGCGAAAGGGGACTCATCGACGGCCTTTGCGACTTGGTCGCGAAGCTGTCGATGCCAGACAGCGTCGACGTCACCGACGCCAGAAAAATTCCAGGGGTGTTGACGGACAATTTGTTTGTCGAGAAGAACTCGGGCCTCACTGATGTAGAAGTGCGAAAGGCAATAAAGACGTGACTTTCCGTAGAGGATGGCCCCAGCGTGTTGGAAGACGAGGTAGCTCTGGAACTGGAGATTGTGGCGCAGAACATGGCAAACTTGAAGGTTGATGCCTCTTCTGACGACGAAGATAGCGGGGATAGGCCAGCCTCGTGTATTACATCTTCGATGACAGAGGCTCAGGTCGGCGCTATTATATAGCTTAGAGAGTGTTCGCTCCTACGTGTACGCCAATGGAAAGGATGGCGAATACCGCGAAACCCAGCACCTCCTTTCGAAAACGGTGCATTCGTTCACGCATGAAACACAAGTCAAGCGCAGGTCCAAGGAGGGGGGGAGCTGCAGGTAACTCTANGGCGCTATTATATAGCTTAGAGAGTGTTCGCTCCTACGTGTACGCCAATGGAAAGGATGGCGAATACCGCGAAACCCAGCACCTCCTTTCGAAAACGG